GGTATACATATACATCATAAACGTGAGTATTAATGCTACCGATGTTTATAATGTGTTGCTCAGAATATGGTATACAACCATGTGACAGCTGTTATTTATACAAGCACGATGTCTGTTAATATTCTTTTTTTTTCTGTTGATGATCATGCAATCAGCTATGTAGTTGAGTGTAAAGTAGAAGTCCGACTATATATCTGTTGTCTCAGTATGCTCGTCGCATGTCTATCATGCAATCTATATACACATTTCTGAAGTCGATATGTGACGGTTTATGTTTAGGGTTTAAGCGCAGTTCCTTCAATATACAAACCCTAGAACCCCAGAACCCTAAAAGATCAGTTCCAGCTGTATATGGGCCGTTCCAACTGTATTTTCTTCACATCGCTTTAGTGATTTGCATCAGTCCACATGTCCCATGTCTTATTGCTGTATTGCTTGTCCTATCTACCACTGTTTACCTCATATCTCCGTATCTGATTCAACTAGTTATACGCTAGAACGAGGTTGCCCCCCTCCCCCCCCCACACACGCACACACAATTTACCGCAAGGCACTTTTGTCTGTCACCAGGCTGCTTGTTCATTCCCTGGATGTCTTCTGTTCACCTCATATCCTCCTGTCTAGTTTCACTGCATTTCTTGTCCGATCGATGACTTCACCTCATATCCCCCTATTCCATAGCCTCCTGTGGCCGTGGCCTATATTTACATGCTACTCATTTACCTACATCAAGCTACTCGCCCCCCTATTGCCTGTCACAAGATTGCTATCACTACTCATTTACCTACATCAAGCAACTCACCCCCTATTGCTCGCCACAAGATTGCTATCACTACTCATTTACCTACATCAAGCAACTCACCCCCTATTGCTCGCCACAAGATTGCTATCACTACTCATTTACCTACATCAAGCAACTCACCCCCCTATTGCCTGTCACACGGTTGCCTGGGCATTCACCGTAGACCACCAGTTCCATCTCATATATCCTCCTATTGCGCTATGCTCAATTGTTTTGGCTTCTCCGTCCGTTGTGTTCCTACCAGGATTGTACCGGATACGACGACAGATACACTCATGATGACATGCGTGGGTATTGGTTACAGCAATCTGAGTAAAAGGATAGGCTAAAACTAAACCGCATCTCCGAGTATAAATAAAAACGTAAATTAGTACGACACGTGTTTACAGCATGCTATTCTTTTCATCTTGCGACTAACTGCCCCAGACTCCGTCGTAGTCTGGTTCTTTATCGGTTTGGCCTCTATTTTCTACTTACGATCATACGACTGCACGTACAATATCTTTCCTGTACTACAGTGAAGTGCATGATTCAATACCAAGCCCTTGAGTCTTTGGAGGTGCCGCTTGCAACTCACATCCTAGAGCATGTACACGCTCTTCTCCAAAGCTCTGAATCTGGATGTGGTGCTTGTATACCTGCCACAGTACAACGTATATACGCCTTGGCACCACTTGGCGAACTCGGTAATCTAAGTTGTACTAACGCCTCAATACCCACCCTGGGCGTGTGATACATACTCAAATATACGCGACTCTATCCCAGTCCCTGGGTTGGCCACGGGATGTCTCTTATAGTGGTTATGCGGGAATCTCATATATGTTCCGATGTAACCCATAGATTCGCATCCTGGAAGCGCACGCACACCATATTAACCACACACAATCAGACCTAAGGGTCTGACAAAGGTCATACAGGTGTCCCGTTGTAGTGTCGTATTCGTGACATCCTGTCATATTCAGATACAGCACAATACGTGTGTCCTCCGGAATCCTGTACGATAGACTAAGTAGTCCACCTCCAAGGCACACCTCTAGACAGCACGCTGTTGGTATACCACGGGGTTTGGGTTTTAGGGTTCATGTACCATCAAATGCCGATTGCTATTCATTCTCCATCTATATTCTTATCCTTCTCTACCTGTACTAAATATGCGTACGATATCCATTACGCTCTACCTGTACTAAATATGCGTACGATATCCATTACGTCTTAACGTCTGATCATGTGCTACGAGACCATGTACAGTCGACGCTTGTAAACCACATACCATCGTACCGTGCATCCTTCGCACCCGCCACCTATATTTTCATCCTCCACTACCTACTCCATCCCCCATCTCTACCTACACCTTTGCATTCGTCTTAAGAGTCACACTGAACTTCCCACCGAGTTTACTACTGCTCGACTGCTGCCCAAGGTTCATGCCCGAGCCCTGACTATACGACGTTATAAAGTCTCGCTGCTTTCTCGCATCCCAATACCGTTTCCGTCGGCGCCTGATAACCAGTGCACACAACCCAGCACAGCAGCACAGACACAGTACCAGGACCACCGCACAAGCTGCAATGACGCGTGTCGCGTTACCATGACTACCACCATCCCTCTCTTCTTTATCCGTGCTGTGCCTGGGTGTCTGGTCAAGCTGTAGATCCGCGGCCGTATAGCGTACGCCAGTCTCCTCCTGTACGTACAGCTCCCGTGCTTCTCGCACCCCGACCCGCGTCACACCACGCCGCCTGCGAGCACTCCCATCGTCGTAGTCAACCAGCACAGTGGAGTTCATGGCCACTATGTTGCCGGTTCTATCGGAGGTGGCACACGCCATGTGTGCGGTGATCTGTATGGGCATGGAGATGGTCTGTGCCTTCGGGTTGTATACCTGGGTGATCGTGTTGTCTGGACCAGATACATCCCCGAGATAGGTGTCGAAGCCTGAACAGTCACCGTCGGTGGTCCGGTCGGCATATGTTACTTCGGCGTTGTATAGAGAGACGCCGCTTACGCTCGTGTTCAGCCTGATCTGCCAATACGACATGCAGCCGAGATCAAAGACGGGTTGTACGATATCGTACGCATCTGTGTTGTATACCCCGATACTCACCAAACAGAGCGTCTAGCTGCACCTCCTCCACTTCACAGAAGTTGTTAGTATTCAGGAAGAACTTGATAGTGGGCGGGGCTATGCCAGCCGGCACAGTAGGACACTCCTGGGGTAGTCCGTCCGCAGTTTCGGCCTGACATTGTACCTGCACGTCGAGCAACGCGTACTCTCCGGTCAAATCACAGGTCACGATATCAAACTCAACGTTTTGGATGCACTCCTGGGATCAATTCAGACCATTACACACCGCACTAAACTCGTACGTAGAGATAGACCTCACCTCTGCGTTGAATGTGTCGGCTACCCTTCCAATTGTACCAATTTGCCCCCCCTTCACTGTAAGTGAGCTTGGATTTTAGGCGTGCATCCTCTGGGAAGTTTTCGGGCGGGCTTCCATCCTCTTTGGCGTACCTTTCTTTCATCAAAGGTATAGCCTCCTGCCACCTGATATCCGTGTGTCTGCCAATATACTTTCTATATCAGTTTGATACCGTTTACGAAAAGCTATTGTCTTCTTGCGCGCCTTCTTGCCTGCAGCGGGAGCGTACTCTTCACCTCTCGCAGCAGCTGCTGCCATCTCTAGAGCCTCCTTCTCTGCTTACGCTATCTCTGTCTTCCGCTTAGCATCCGCTGCTTTCTTCGCGCTTGTTAACGTAGATATCAGCGTCCGTATATCCATTTCGTTAAGTAGAGAGTATCGGCCAGGATACATTAATTTTAGTTGTGAAAGCATTGAACCAGGCTGCACCTTAAGCAATGAATCAGCCTCACCTTTGTAGAACATCTCCTTGATGTTATCTACGTACTTCTTCATGTACGATTGGCCATATTGTTCGCCACGAGGTCGACATCTCGCCCATCCTTGGGCGTGCTTCTTAATGTCACGCAACAAAGCATCTGCATCGGCTGGATATACTATGTTTGCTACACGGGTAGCAGCCTTGAGCACAATTTGAGACACGCAACTCCAGTCATTTGGATGTGTTCTTTGGATTTCAGTGTTGTTAGTGCGTAATTCTGTACTAGGCAAGGCCTTTCTACTGTTACGACTCCATCCAAATGTCCGTGAGATATCTACTATTGTATTTAGACGTTTGTTACTATTCGTGCTGATTGTGACAAAGTTTTGACTTTCAGAGTGTGTGTATGTCTCACTTGGCGCACTCATAGCACGTGATGGAGTATCAAGCGCACGTATACTCTCCGCAATATCTAAACGTGCTTTCTTAGCTGATGTGCGTCCTGATGAAGTACGCTGCACCTCGCCTACTACCTTGGTGAATCCCTTCTGACGACCATGTTTCCTAGCGCCATTCATACGGTTGCAAGCACACTTACACTTCTTGCACGCACTATTACATAGTGAACAACGTCATCTGCATTCGTCGCACACATCCTGGGGTATGCAACCACAGGCCGTCATAGCACCACTAACCTCCGAATAAAAGTCAATTCAATGCATGCATCAATCGATGGTCATTACACCATTCCGCAACGTGACCACCTGCTATCGTTGTTTTATGCTACCATGGGCTTATGTGACCCTACCATACACCTTATGAGCGATATATAACACCCTTGAATGCTTCTTTGACCTTGCTAGCATGTCACAATCGTGTTTTTCACCTACCACAAATTCGACCTACCCTCTGGTACCGGCACGCTAATTACTCGTGAAGTATTGGTGCTATGAACATAGCGTAAAAACAACAATTGATCAGAAGTGTGTGATTAATCCGTCTCGAGTGACAAATTATGCTTTGGCCTATTTCTGCATTTAAACGAAACTGCCCTGCCCCAAAATTCTGACCCGGTTAGTAGGCAATTTTTTGGTTAAAAATACACATTTATAGAAAATTGTAGTTGTGTTTTTTTTGTCGACATAAGAAATGTAATAAAAAAAATGGTTTCTCCCCCAAAAAAACGGTAGGTAGTAGGTATGTAGTGGTACATAATTATATAAAGTCAAACCTCCATTTTTGTCTAGGGTCCGATTTCGGCCAAAAATTGGATAATAATAGAGGTAGACAACAATGGTCATATGGGGCCTGGGACCTATTTTTTAGATTCATGTTTTGATTTGTACTGCGTCTACAACATTACAACTGGCATCAGAAAATTGTATCTTCTGCTTCGAAGGCTTGCGTATAACTCTTTTCTTAGAGACTTTCTTCTTTGTGCTGGTTTGTGGTTTATCGACGTCTTTGTCTTTCTGCTTTGCTGCGGGTGGTTAACATCCATCGCTCAATAGACAGTATCCCTTGCTATTACTACCAAATCCTTCGCCAATTGTCACGCGACAGAAAGCGTGCATTGCCTTCCCACAACCAACACATTTGTGCGCGCCACAGATAGGATTTGGATCTTTGCAACTTCTAGCGCATTGTCCGTCTACATCCTACATATATAGCTTATATATGACTTATAAAATAGTCTAAAATAATTGGACAAAAGTAGATGTAAACAAAAATAAAAACCCAAAACCCTAAAACCCAGATTGGCGGGAAGACCAAAACCTGTAAGTAGTAGTTCAGAGATTATAAAATTTTAGTTTATAATATCCTACATCTACTATCGTCTCAAATAGGTCCAAGTAAATGAGTCATACTGGAGCCATCAAAGTGAATTTAGAACACTTTGGAAATATTGGAAAAATAACTTGTATTAAATTATTTCAAATACAAACAAAACCAATGTGTTATCTCATTTGATCTTGATATTTCAGACTGACAGGAGGCCGTATTTCTACATAGCCCCCAGTAGCTTTTAGGACTACAGACGTACGTGAAGGTACGGACTAGTTCGTAAAGCGAAAACCAAAGTAAACCTGTTTCGGCCATGGCTTATCGAGTAAGTATGTGCCTATATGTACGATTTCAAGACTCATGTTGTACTCTATGTCGTTTAGTATTTGGTCCAGTAGCCATTTCCGATTTAGGCGCCTTACGTTTATTACTTGGTAAGGTAGTAGCAAGTTGTTCTTCATTAGTCAGTAAGTTCGAAGAATTTTCTGCTCTGTTGGTAAGCAGATCAGAAAATTTAGTCACATATGAAGTAGGTGGCAAATATGTAGTTATCTGAGGAACCCCTTTTTGTTTATCTCGTGTGTTCTTATGTAAATGCTTATTCCATTTCTTATTAGAAATACGAAGGAAGTCGCGAGATTCACGAAACGCATCGGAGGTTAGCCAAGCTACTGTCCCATCCATAAAACGGGTCTTGTAGTAAGTGTAACCGTCTTCGGATGTTTTGTCAATTATATCTTTGACTTGTGACTCCATAACTGGGTCATCAGAATCAAATGAGCGAGCGAATGAGAGTTCGGCGGTAGGGATACGGTGAGTGCCTATATTAGTTGCGCTAGTACCATCTATGTCATTCACTTCGTAAGTATCACTCTTTTCATCATGGTAGGAAATAACAAAAGGTCCAATTGTCTTAGAAGATAGTTCGGTAGCGTTGGCATTGCGATTTATAATGTGAATATAATCGCCAACTTTGAACTGAACAATGTTCTTCGTGTTATTCCATCGGTCATACGCTTTAAGTAGGACACGAATTTTGTGCTCGAGTAAACAGGGGTAAACAACGTTCTGCATATGCTCGACCTTTTGTAGCCACGGAGTAACGTGTTTCTCGGGCGCAGTTTTGTCAAATGTTGCTGTAATTCACTATGGCGGCCAAAGAATAGTGAAACGGGAATGTTCCAGTTTGAGGATTCATGCAGTTATTCACTTGAGTCTGAACCTATCTCAAATGATAAGGCCACATATCCTCAACGTCATCTAGTGCGGTATGCAATAGCTTCTTTAGTTCTCTACGACGTGTCTCGTTCGCACCCTGCGTTTGAGGTTTATAAGAAACACCACGCCTATGGGTCACGCCTGATACGAATATAAGTGCCTCCATTACGTCGGTACAAAACTCACTACCGTTATCAGAACATAGTACTCGGGGGAAACCGAAGTCATTAAAGATGTGATAGTATAACTCTGCCACTGTTTGCGGGCGTTTGTTCGGTATTGCATAAAGCAAGCTATAGCCCGAAGCAACACATAAGAAATGACAGATATATACATCGCCAGTATGCTTGGATCAATCGACTATGACTCGGCGCATCGGTTGGTCTTCTGTCCCACCTTTTTTTGGGGTGCCCAACCGTAGCGCTTGATCTGGTTCTTTTCACAATCAGTACAGCGTCGGTATACTTCACGTATGGGTTCTTTCAGCGCCGGGTGATCAAGCCCTGCACGAATAGCCATCTTGTAAGTATGCTCATATGCTCGATGAGTTAAATTATGTAATATTTTAATTCTACTCTCGAGCTCTTCTAAGTCAGTCAGATTATGTGTAACGCTGGCTGGATGAACCATAGTCCCGTTAGATAGAGCAACCTCAGTATTAGGAGGGATAGACTCCTGAGATACGTAATTAACAACATTAGATTGTTAAAGTATCTTCTTCAGTTGTTTTGCAACTCCTGGCTGCTCTTTAAGCAACGCTTTAAGCAGTTGAGTGCGAGCTTCAGGCTCTCTTAGAGCTTTGAGTCTTTGATCCATGTACTTAGCTAGTTCCATGTTTTTACGATCTAATGCCGTCTCAATCGGCATTACCTCGACTGCATTCTTGTTGGGTGCATGTGTTGTACAAGTCTTGAGCTTTTGTTCAAACTCCTTAGACTCCTCTAGTTTAGCTAAGAACTCGATTGAGGGTTTCCACTTAGTGGTACCTGCAGGACCGATGCGACAAACGATTGTTGTGTTTCCAAGGTGTCTTCTTAGTAGAATAGGATCCCTGATACAAGAACGTGTCGGTTTCACGGTCGACATTGTCAGGTTCGTTTTGTATCATATTAATTAAATCACGTATCCATGGGTCGAAGCTACGTAAGGGACAACACAGCGTAATGGTAGATTTAGTAGTATTAACAAAATTTAACAACTGTGCGATAAGTTGCCAAGGTGGGTTAGCCCACGCAGTATGCTATGATATGTCAAGATGAAAGGCATCACCTTTAGGATGTTTGTTATGTTCTGCGGTGAACATATCAATTGTAAATGGATCCCATCTTGATTGAGCGAGGTTAAACCATTTATTATTATGCACCCAATCAGTTGACTTCCCCATATTTATTTTTCACTTCCCCATATTTATTTTTCACTTCCCCAAATTTATTATTCACTTCCCCATATTTATTTTTTACGACGGACCTTTGATTCAAATTTTCGCCACCGAAACGTAAATTTCGGTGACCAGTAGTTCACCAGTGTAGAGCTGAATACCACTTTCAAAAAACCCACAGACCCCACCAAAACGTTGACTTGAAATTTGGATTTTCAATCAAAAAAAATTATA